ATGTACTTCTGAGAGCTATTGCCTCCCCTGGCAGGCGGGCAATCCACACCACCCCTGATAGCACCATGTGTGTTTGTGAGAGACAGTGGAGAATCTGTAGACGGCGTTTATCACAAGCTGGTATAGGATCAATGAATAAACCCAAAGTGGTTTTTCACAGTGTCTGAATGCTTGATTAAGTTCATCCTTTGGGTCCACGTTCACTTACACAGGACACTTGGCATGCACAGACCAGGGTACATTTGTAGTATCAGTAACCTACACATGGGCTTGTCTTTACGTTGCCCTGCACTCGGTTGCTATGGTGAAGACAGTTGCACAGAGAACTGCCTTTTCTTCTGAGATAGACCTGAGAAACACAGATGCTGCCCCCCCAGAATAAACCTCCCAGGGAAACTCTGCACTAAGCATTGACTAGGGGACATTATCCCTCCCTCTGCACGTCAGAGGCACATCTGTGGATCAGAGAGATTAAATGCATGTTTCATTTCTTCCTGACTAGCGCACAAAGGATAAGCAAAGAATGCGCAATGTTTCATCCTTCTTTGTGCATCAGTAGCAATATCCCTTTTGCTGGGACGTGTGGAGGAATTGCCCACTAGTCATGGGAAGCCATGAAGAGACCATGGGCTGGTCCAGGTGTCCCTTGGCTGTCCAGTAGGATCTCTCATACCAATGAGGATGTGTGTGTAAAGCCCAGCTCGTCTCTCAGGGCTCCGGTTGTGTTTGCAGCGCAGGCTTTTACGGGAAAAAAGTAAAACATACAATTTTATGTTTAAGCTGTTTCATTTGCTCTGTAACTATGGATGGCCTTGAAACTGCCTCCTGCATGGTGACTCCTTCCCTTCTATTCCCCTAGAAAGTAATTTTTCTAGATCTGGAACTTCATTTCAAGGCTCTGCAGATTCATCGTACTAATAAATGTCACATTATTCCATCTCTTCTGACACTAGTGAGAGCAGGCACCCAATGAAAGCTGAAGAGGGATGAAAAGCAAAGCTATGAAAAAATATATGACACGTAATCCAGGTGCACCAAGACCAAATCTTGAATGAGAAAAGGGGGCTGTACCAGACCCTTAGATACAAATGTATAAGGAGTAGCTGGGCTGCTTGTATTTCAGCAACAAGAGCTTAGGTCATGTTTGTGGCCGTTCCTGGGCTATTAGGACAAAAACTGAAAGATCAGAGGAGGATAGCAAGGTAATGAGAGCAATTTAATTTCTCTGGACTTGTTTGACTATAAATTTCCCTGGGAGGAGATGAACTTGGAGCTTTGATGTCTGCCATAATATAGTAGTGGTACGGCCAGATCAGTCTGAAAGTTTGAATGGGAGCTGTGTGACATTCTTACCTGTATGTGTTAAGTGCATATTTGGTGGATGAAGGGGGAAAACAGGTGTCTTCTGACTCAACTGATGTGCTCCTAAATTCTTCCAGAACTTGTATGGCGCTAGCAGATTTTTATGTCAATAGATGACATTGCCCCAGCAGAGCAAGTTGATGTCTTTTACGTAAGTCATCTTTATTGACAACGCTGCTTCTACTGGCAGTATCTTTATTTTCAGCGCGGCTGCTAGCCGAAGAATGAACTCATGGGATGTTGAAATCATGAATCAAGTCAGAACAGTCTTCTCTAGTCTTAAGTTGCCAAGGAAAGGGAGAACCAAGCCTGCATTTCTTGCTCAGCCCAGAATCTCAAGAACTTCGAGACAGGTTTGAGAGCTGGTCTAAGGTTGTGAAAGCTCATGAAAAAATGTCCAAGCAATGCCTTTCTGATCTGTGAGAGATCTTGCATCCCTGGGGTTTCTATTCCAGGTTTCAGGCAATCATGGAGGAGTCTGGAGGGGAATGGTTTCTACTTTATAAATTTTGATTTTGTTGTTGTTATTGTTGTTGCTGCACATTGTAATTATTAACTACGCTTGTCATTCCCAAAGAGCAAGAGAAGCTTTTATGAAAGAAATAGCATATATTCCTTTAAGATGTTAGTATCTGATAGTCGTTCTGTAGTTTTATTTTAGGTTAGATAACACCTGAAACATCCTGTGATCTTAGTATTCATTAAAAGTTAAAATCCAGCTTTTTTAGTCAGACTGTGATGAGCAGTCCAGTAGCTTGAAATCCCTGTATTTTATTTGCAAAAGCTAACATTAAAAAGGTAATTTTTTTTTTTTAATTTAAAGGGTTTGGATGCTTTCGTCTCAGGTTAGTATCTTGCAAGCACACCTTTAACACTAAGGAGACAAAAAATTTCCTATGCTCCCTGCTGTGATGAGTATTTTCTGCCTGAACTGAGCAACGTAAGACCAGGCCCATATGGAATGGAAAGAAAGAGGGAAATGCCTAGGAGCATTTCTTAAACGTATTAGGCGTGATTTTATGTTCTGAGTTGAGGAGATGAGGTGAAATGAAACATCTGTGTACAATAAAGAGCTGTGTCTGTCTTAGGTTATTGTCAACTGTAAATTTGTGTGTCGCCCCCAGGGCTTGTTCCTGCT